TACATGGCAATGGATATTGCGAGGACGCTGTAGCGTACGCGAAGTGTAAGTACTCTGAAATGTTCTAAAGTTTAGGATTAGTTTACTAATTATTTTTTCTAATTTCTAGATTTAAACTCTCGGTTGCTGCCTAAATGGGCACTGGAAGTTAAACTGTATGATCCGTATCAAGGACTCGAAGTTGACTACTTCGATTTGTGTCCCAAAACGCCCATAATCTTCTTCAATCACTACTGGAGCGACGTACCTTCGATGCCTCGTTGGCCCAAAGATAAACCGATCTATCTGATGCCAAACATTGAGATGTTCGAGTTAACTGCAGAACATTACTGGAGAGTGGACGTGGTACTGTGTAAAACACAGACTTGTTACGACCGCGTGACACTTTGGTACGAGCAAGAGGGAAATCCACGCAGCACATCCGTGTTTTACACCAAACATACGTCTTCTGACCAAGCACACTTCGCGCGCAAACGAATGGGTGAGCGTGTCATTCGACCGAGGGATTTCTCCAACATCAAATTTATTCATACTGCCGGTACCAGCTCTGCAAAAGGCACAAGAGAACTAATGGAATGTTGGGTATTTGTACCGGGTTTACCTCAACTGGACGTTTATATCGACGAAAAGCCATTCAACTTCTTGTTTAAACCCAAATTCAAGATGTACCTCAAGTTCAGTCGCAGTCCCGTCAACGTTCACGTAGGTTTTGTTGAACGTCCACAGTTTACCAAGTTGACGGCTGATACTACGTTCTTCATGTGTCCAAGTGTAAGTGAAGGGTATGGGCACTATATCAACCAAGCACGTGCCGCTGGAGCTGTCGTCGTCACGACCGACTTGGCTCCAATGAATGAGCTAATTACGAAGAAGACGGGTTTCTTGATCCCAGTGGAGACACGACAACACCCAAAGATGCTGATGGGAGGAGCTTATAGAGGGCAGCATGGCTTAAGAGACGTTGGCGGACTTGTGGCAACGTTCCGAGGTCCCGACATCTGTGAAGTGGTTCGAGAAATGATGACGTCAACTACAACAGAGCAGCGAGCTACTATGGGTGCCAACGCCCGTCGAGCGTATCATGAAGACACCAAGTTCTTCGCCAACGCAATGCAAGAGCTACGACAGTTCGCAAGACGCAGTAATTGATTGAGTTTACTCACTTTGTTCGTCTTCTTCAGCGAATGTGTGTGCTCGAAGGATAGAAGACGCTTGGATCTGGTACAAGTCGCCCTGCTCTTCTTGACCTCGCCACTTCATGAGTTGGCCGAGCTGCATCAACGCCTGAGCCTCCAGCTTCCAGTTGCCCGTCTCTCTCGCCGATATGAGCTTTTTCTGTAATTTATCTTCCTCGACCACTGTGTCGATCGGAGGGATGTCGTGTTGCAGATACTACGCGACGTCAGTAGAAAGATTAGAGGCGTCACTGTTTAAACTCTTAAGACTCACCCGAGTACGCTCTGTAATGTACACGTAGCGATTCTAAAACACACAATTAAGTCATTGAAGATTCATTAATAAAGTAGGGACATTACATCCTTGCTCTTCTTCTTCTTCGTCTTGACCGGCGGGGCCATTGAATATCGACGAAAATAGTCGAACGGCCTATATCCATAATACTCTTCATCTAAAAATGCCAAGGTGACTTTTGCGACAAAATAATGATCAAGACCACTTCGGTATCGCAATTCCTACTCCACCTTCGCCCCGTCTCAATGGAGAGACAAAGATGTCGATCATGTCGCTACCCGCTACCGGTTTTCACGCAGGCTCAGTCTTAAATTCAACCAAATTCGGTAAAGATAAGTTCCATGTACAAGGTGATTCGCCAAAACCCAAGCTCTAAGCACGCCGTGGCGCGTCCACAATGGGACCCCGTTGTCTCTCTGAGCAAGATCGACCACGTGGAGATCCACCACACTCGCGTTCGAGACGGTGTCGTGTTCTACAAGGTCGAAGTGTATCTCAAACCACCAACGGATTTGCCATTAACGCACAAAGAACCGGACTACGTTGTGATGCGTCGATTCAGCGACTTTGACTTGCTCCGTCGACATGCAGCGCAGCACGCTCGCTGTGAAGTCGTCGGTGCGTGTCGCTACTGCGACCGCTTTCGATGGTTCATGCTGCACTGCTACAAGCAGCCAAAGACGATCGTCAAGCTCTGCACAAGTGTGGAAACGAGGAGGAAGATACTAGAGAGATTTTTAAATCGGATGATCGACTTGGCCGTCGCAGACGAGAGAGCAGCGCTGGGAGCTCCGCGCATATGTCAATGCCCTGGAGCTCGCGCTATTCCAATCCTTGTCGACCAATTCATGCGCAAACGAAACGTAGTGTGAGCAACACGAGGTGTGGTAGTGTTATACATGTACTTGGACCTTGCTTTGCACAAACATGTACGGTTGAACTTGAAGCGCACCGTGAATACCAGTCGAACGTCCTACTCTTCCTTGTCAGTACGCGGGGTTAACGAAGTGGTAAACACCGTAATATCTTGAAGGCTATGGATCTGTCGGTAATGAAGTCGACAATCGCTCTCGTCGCCATCTCGACCGGTATTGTCATCAGCACTTTCAGGCCTTTGGGATTCTTACATCCAGTCTCCTGCTACTCGAGACG